AAGGACGGTAGACGTTCAATAGGAAAGAAGGAGAAAACCTCACAAAAGCACCAGCAAACCAACCACGGGTAGAATAAGAAATATAATAAAAATGCTCAACAATACCTCTTGAAGCTATAAAAGCCCCACCCTCACCCCTCCCCGAGACCATAATCCACAACAAAGTTGTTGGTTTTTTTTAGTAAATGTTTTACGTCACTTGCAACACAATAAGGTCATATAAGTGCCGTAGATTAGAGGTGTTACAAGGGAGTAACAAACACAAAGAAGATGGAGGGGAGATAAGGACGATATATGTTTGATAGGAAAGAAGAAGCAAACCACACCATAGCACCCGCCAACCACCCACCAACAAAGTTTAAAAAACCAGGGCCTTTGTTGCCAAAAAAAAAAAGAAAACCACTGCCACTTAGCCACTGAGCACTCGAAACAAACCTAACAAACTACAACTAGAAACAAACAACAACCAAAAAAAAAAAGGCAGACGAAAACGAAGACCTGAAGATCCCGAAGCTTTTTGTCCACACACACAAGTAATAAAGTAACACAAACATTCCATTAAGCCGCCCTCCCTCGAGTTAAAAAATAGTAATAGGTTTAACAAGAAAGTGCCAGCCTCTCTGGTCTATCTATACTCACCCTTTCTCTTTCTCTCTCTCTCTCGCTCACCCCTTCGTCTCCCCTAAAACCCCTGGATTTACCCCCCACTCCCTGTGCGCATACAGGCGAAATCAATTAAGCAAACACAACAGGCACTCGGGTCGAAACCTGTGCGATTTATAATTGCATTTTGGCTGTCCCGTGAGAGCCCGAGGTAGGGTAAGGGGATCCGGGTATATATGCAAGTTACGTGCAACATCCCTAGGGCACGATGGGCAATGGAAACTGCGTGTATCCCCTGGAGATGCAACCAATGTGCGGGGGACCCCAAAAAAAAAAATCGAAGCCACTTTGCGAGAACATATTTTATCGGCGTCTGTGGTAAAGCGCTTAGGTACTTTGTCATTACACGCAGAAAGTAGGAGTTCCATTCCAGTGTGGAGAGGTTTTTATTCACCGAGTATATCCGTCCGACTGGTGCGATACTGTATCCTTCTCTACCTGGCAGGGTTGAAGCAACCCACCTCCTAAATGACCTAGATAAGAACATTTCATTTTCGAACACCTTCAGTTTTAGTTTTTTAGTAACAGTTTTACAACGCTTACAACTGTAAAAGATCATATTGAGCGCGCATATTCAAGTTGGCTGTTTTCACATTAGTCCACAGCCCGGCTTGGTTTTAC